CCCGATCAATCTTAAAGGTACGTCAACAAACTGTCTATTATAAGTGTAAGCCATTAGCAGATCAAAGTTCTATTGTTAGGCACAAGGTTTTATTTTCCAAAAAGAAATAATAGTGGAGTTGGAGTTTCAAGTGGAAAACCTATTTAATTAGAAACTATAGATCGGGCGGTTAGTTTGTCCAAATAGGTGTGGGCTTTCAAATCAGCCTTCGTGAACGCTTGCAATTTAGTCTGCAGAGTTCAATCGCATATGGCTGGCACCGTTACCAAAAGGTGTATTAAGACACTCCCCCGAAATGATCCCTAATCAAGATACAATATTCAGTCACCTGAATAAAGGAGCTGGGATTGCTGTCATGGACAAGAAGGAATACACAATTAAACTACTGGCTATCATCTCCAAAGGAGATAAGTTCCTAACCATACCAACAGGATATAACACACCAGACTAAACAACAAATCACTGGGTACATAAGGATTGAGTTATATGAACGCATAATATTTGCTGTTTCATACATTCCGAGGCTGTATGGTTTGCCAAAAATCCATAAAGCTCAGAGTCTCCTTCATCCTATCATATTAGTGACGAATTCTCCATACTATGCTGTGGCTCAATAGTTGACTGAAATTCTCAAACTCGAAAGGAAACGTTTAAAGGCTAATCGCTTTAGGTGAAGGTTTCAGTCCATTGAGGTAACATGGAATACAGACGTATCAGATAAGGTGGTGTTGTCCGGGATATTGATTCACTTTTCACACATATAACACTATTATTATTACAAACACCTGGGTGATACCAAAATGAATTTTGGCATATCCACGGAAGTGCTACACGAACTCTTATTTCGGTGTACAAAACATATTCAATTTCTTTTGAACGGTAAGATCCACCGACAAAAGCGGAGTAGCACTGGGATCACCACTAGAACCACTTCTTGCAAATGATTTTATGGTGATGATGGAGAACAGTCGATTGAAAGGCACCACTATTGGTCTTCATAAATATTTCGCATGGCTTATTGAAACTGCAAACGAGATTAACAGCTTTGAAAGTTCAAATATGCACACATGGCCATAGAATTTACAAAGGAGGTAGAAGCAGATGAACGAATACTTTTCCTGGATGTACTTCGCATTGGAAGACGTGACGGATCTATATGACATCGAATGTACCGTAAGAAAATAGGGAGTGGACAGTATATGAATTTTCTAGCTATATACCAAATAAACTGAAAAGGGAGCTGACAAAGTGCTTGGTATCTACAGCGCGGAGAACCTGCAGCCGATTATAATAAGCAATGATTACCTAAACCCCTTCCTTCAACGAAATATGATGGAACAGGTACCAAGAGTACAAAATGATAAGATGCAGATGGAGGACTTGTTTGTTAGTCTTCCTTTTAAGGGCGAAGTTGCCGCAGAATCCCCCACTAGACGACTGAATGGAACGGTTAAAGTCACATTTAAAGCAGCGCACCTACGCTGCTTTTTCAAAAGTTCGCCAATGATAACCGTACGGACTAAAGATGAACTGCCAATGATGACTGCTCCAGTGATTATTTAACCGTTCAGATGAGTTTGTGATACAGTCGGTCGGACGCCAAGGTAATTATGTATCCGCTGCAAAGAACAGCATCCACACTGGCTGATACAAGTGAAATTCTCTCCCACTTGATAAACACTGGTCATTGTGTTAACCCAAGTGATGCAGTCCGCGTTATTTATCCGGTTCCTCCGAATTGGTCTAAATATGTTAGAAAGCGGAAGTCTACCATAGCCGAAGCCATCTGTATTGCACATTTGACCCCCGAACTGCGTGCTCAGAAGTGTCTATTATGAGCTCTCCCTTGGATTTATGAACCCATTCCTTCCCGGCCCACAAACATCTTTTCACACAACAACACCGATCCCTCAGAAGTGGGTAACACGACATAATTGAAAACCCCGAAAGCATATAACACATACATATAGTGGTTTCTCACATTTAAATGTTATCCGCCTAAGTCCAAGGTTTTTTCCCTCTCGTATAAAGTGTAACGGCATGATTATATGTAATTGAACACATAGCATAAATGAAGGACTTGGTTTGTTTTTAGTGAAGCTCCTCGGGCGAAGAGCAAATGGAGCGTGAACTGAAAAGCTAGAAAACACAGCACATCTCTTTCGATCTGGTTGGGTAGCATGCTTACGTTCTGTCTGTGAGTTCCCGGGTTCGATCCCCAGTTTGAGAGATGAATTCGGACTGATATTGAGACTTAACCAAATCAAGATGACTAACCAGTGTTTCCCAGTTTTTTCAGTTTAAGTATCTTACGTTCTTTATTGAAAACAATTCTTCACTTGAAATTGAGCATGTTTCGCTAATAAAAATTAAGTATATTGGCTAGTAAAACAAACTGGACGATGGCAGCATACATCCATATTTACGTAAATCTTTGTGACAACTAGAAAACAGTCTTTCAATATTGCGATGGCGTGACAAATAGTGAGGCAGAAAATTACAGTTTGTCTCGCTCTGTTTTCATCCGTGACGGTTCATTGTTTCTGCCCCTGGGGAACACAAGTGCAGTCGAAAATTTTCAATTTTGTTGGGGACCCAAAGGTTTCTTTTCTGTTTCTTGGTTTTCTGTTTTAAAGTGCGACCGTGAGATCTCGTCTTCTCTGTTCTTGGGAGCAGAATGATCTGTCATAATCTGTACCAACACCCAGTCTGGGTTTTCTAACAGCACGTGTGATACGATGCATGTGAAAACAATACATTACCTTTCTATGTTGCGTACTGTTTTAGATAAACAATATTTCAGTCTCAGCAAGTGCAACAAAGTTTAATTCACTTGATGTGCCCAGTGAGGCATTGGTCTTGAGTGAGCATTGAATTTCGTTGCAACATGTGGCTTTTGCTCAAAAATGGACCCCACCTTTCTGGATTCGATATATGAAGATTTTGTTACGCCTCAATGTTGCGTCCTGATGGTTTGATTGGTCTTTTCCGGTGAGAAGTGGAGTTATACGAAGGGTGGCATTATCATATGTTTGTATTTATTGCATCGTTACCCCAATACGCAGTCGACCCTTTTGCATAGCATTGCTAGAGGAAGCAGTGGGAAGTAAATGATTCATTTGGGCATTTCAACAACTCTTTTTTATCGGAGGAACTGATTTCAGATTGGGTTTATCCACAGATATGAATGCCTTATACAGCTCTGGCTGGTTTGTATAAAGCCACTGACGTCGATGTGAAAAAGAGATTGAGTGAACAGAAGATTAAATTTTATTAGATAGCAATGTATATTTCTTGTGCTAAGAATAGTAAGGGGATCAAAGAAGAAAAAACGGCCAGTGTTTGCGCACCAGTGAAATTGATTTTGGTTGTACTACAGTCATCAACGATTTACACATTCATGGAAGAGCTAGCTCGCAGTGGTCTGATACTACAAACGAGTTGATCACGCTGTGTGAATGGCTTTGTTGTCAAATAGACATCGTTGCCGGAACATCGATCGACTCGCTATCGCTAATCAACTTCCCTGTTCTAAGCGCTCACAATGAAGGTCAGAACACGTGCGGTCATTCCTTTCCTGGAGGTTAAATTGTGCAAATGTCCATATAAAACAAGACGAAGGATCTGCTCAATGTGACATCTCACTTCTTCCCAGTGTGATGCATTTTTGATAAGAAATTAATAAATGAATTTTAGAATAGAGAACACCTTAAAACACAGAACACAACCTTAGGCGTCAAGTGTTGAAATTTGTTAGTAAACTTCTAGCATTCAGTAAAAACTGCTCAATTTTCTATCATGATAAATCATACAACTTCAATTCTGCTCCACACAGGGTGAAGGGAGTATATTCTTTATCGTTTAGCGAGAAGGTAAGGTTTCCAACAATACTACTCGACATTTGACTCAGAGTTACCTGTGGGTAGTGGTGTGGGACAATTGGTATTCATGGAAGATTCCCATAAGAATTTCAAAAGACAAACATTTGGTATTGATCGATTGTAATTAACCATGCTTCAAGATTTACTTTCGCGCACATTCCTCAGCTCCTCCAGTCAACCATGCACTGGAAAGCACTAGACTTGAGTTTCGCTCTTATTAGAGCTCAACCCTTGTATGAGCTGGTTGGCACCGTGGTAACACGCACGTCTTTCAGTCGATGGGTCTGGAGTTCAAATCCCGGAGACGGGGGCATGTACTGCTGATGACCTCTAAGGCGAGCAAAACTCAAGTTTAGTGAATCCGGGTGTCCAGTTGAGTGTAAATCCGAGGATTGTGCGTAAAGGTGAAGTCTGGGTAATGAATGCACCAGGAATCCAAGCTCAAGAAAAAGGGATATTCATAAGTACTGGTGCTGCCTACCGTCTGAAGAGACCTTCTCCATAGCACAGAACAGATTTTGAAATGTATATTTACTGAAGTGATATGGAGAGCATTATATGAACGTAATTTCACCATTATTACTGAATTCTCAAAATCTGCTTCGTTGCTCTTAGGCCTATTAACACAAGAAGTGAAATGAGGTGATGATGTGAAAGTGTTTTGTTTTGCAAAGATAGATTTGTCATGTATCATTGTATCAATATTTCATTCGACGATCAAGAGTAACCCCTGCGTCAAATTACACACCAACAATGGGAGTCCACTTTGGTCCTGCATGAGAGATTCACATCTCATAAAATGCTTGGCCTTGAGGTTTTTACATAACATTGTATCCTAAATACTGGAAGGGTTATTCCCTATACTCGTAGGGATCAACCATTCACTGATGTTACCCGACAAAGCAAACCCTAGAACTCGTATTGATGAGCTACACAAGGTAAATATGAACGCGAGTGAGGGATTGAGCAAAATAAGTGCTGAACAGCCAAGTGGTAACGTTGGATGCTCGTAGCTGGGTTCGAACCTTGCACCCTGAATTCTAATGCCTGCAGGTTGGCAGTAAATTTGGCCAAATAATTACAAACCTCGTTGTTTAAAAATAACCAATTGACAGCTCATCAGCTATATGCTCGTCTCCCATAGAATTCTTCTATTTTGTTCAGCAATTCACTCTCTCTGGCCTGTATGAGATTACCCATTTCATTCCCGTTGGGAATTTCCTACACAATGAAACCACTTGAAATATTAATTGCGTTACTCCTTGCATCAAAGATTCATCATCGCCATCATCATGATCATCATCAACATCATCGTTATCATCATCATCATCACCATCATCATCATCATCATCATCATCATCATCAACATCATCTTCATCATCATCATCATCATCATCATCATCATCATCTGAATCATCATCCGAATAATCATCATCATTATCATCCGAATCATCATCGTCATCATTGTGAGCAAAGTACGCAAACACTGATTGAGCCTGTTGTTCATTTGCACTGCGTAGCCACCTTCGACTTGATTGGTATAAAGGAGGACACGTAGTTATGCGTGGGTGGGTGTGCGTGCACGCTTACCTGAACACTAGCTGCAATCGGAGCAATCTTTGTTAACGGCGGCAAATTTTGAAAACACTTTTTTGTACTTATAAGTGCCGACAAAGTGATTCCAGTACCCCACCGATTAATTCACCAATAGTGCATAATCCAACGCAAAGCAATGGTAAAATTCTCATTCCCTGATAATGAAGTGTTCCATACAAATCGGACCCGAACAAATTATTAAACAGGTGAACAATTATAAGTTTGTATTGTAGCTTTAACGGGTTGTATACAAGCTTTTGGTCAGAAAGAGACCGCCGTCACAGCACTGGCAAAAGGTGGGGGGGGGGTCGTGCATGGAACTGGTTAATTCAACGAACAAATGCATCAGAAAGCTCAGAGTGAACACTTCCCTTGTTGGTCAGTATCTGGGCAAGTTGGGTACCAAAGAGTTTCTGTGGACCGAAATCCAAGATGGAACGAATTTGTAGTTGGAATGGGCGGCGGGGTGGGATTTGCATGCACGCAGATAGATGTGTAAAGGATGGGGGAAATCAGATAGAATATTGTGAGAAAACGTGAAGCACTCATCAATATGAGCATCACCGATCAATAAAGGGCTATATATACATCAGTAGCTTGAAATTGTCCTTCAGAAGACTAAGGGAAACCAAAGGGAAGTAGTAAAGGAGTATGGTGGGAACAAATTTTTGTACAAAGCTCCTATCATCGACCAATCAGAACAAAAGTGGCTCGGTCTTCTTTTCTGAAAGAATAGAACTTTCAGCTACGTACAGAAGAGCAAAGGTTACTTTCGGGCGGTGTTGGCCTGGTAGTAACGTCACCAATTTATCACCCCGGTGATGTGTGTTTGAATTACACCACCAGCACTGCCTCAATTTCCTGAGTGTGGTAACCCTTTGGTTTGCCGCTTCCTCCCTTTCTGAAAATTGTATCTTTGTATGTTTAGTTAAGGGAAGTAAAATGAAAAGAAAAAAGTGTGACACCTAATAACTTTGTATGGCTGAATCTGCTCATCGGTTTTCCCTTAAGTTGTATATTGGTGGAAAGAAAAAGTAAAGAATTCTAAACAAAAATACATTTAAGGCACTTTTCGAAATGAAGATAAATATCAAATAAAGTGAGATACACAACGAGGTGCGATAATTTTTTTGTAATACGCAACCAGTTCTGATAAGTTAGATATGAAAACAGTAATGGTGAGATTATCAGCAAATTTAAAATTTCGTGTAGGGGCAGGAAGAGTAGTAAGTCATTGAATCGAGTTGCAATAATATAACCTGTCTTATTTCCCCACGAAAACCGTGGAGAACACCGAATGATGTGGAACACAATTTTCAGTTGTACCGCATGTCTGACCTTGAGATCGGAAATGCCGACACATGAAAGTACCGAGTGTAAGCGATGATGAATCAAAATATCATTTTACTAATTAGCAAATGCTTAAAACATCGGTACGGGTGCTATTTGGCAGATTAACGAACTGATGAAGGTCAGTTATCATGGAGATAAAATCTTTGGGTGGATGATTTAGAGTCAATATGACCTATTCTATTTAATACACTCTGATGCGCCGAAAACTGACATTAAGCCATTGATTTTTATTCACAAAAATATCATTTTCTGCTTCACTTAAAAACGAGATGTTCTTCTACAAGTTGGCATTCAAACTGTTTGTAAAAGGAAACGTAACTGAAATCCTCGTTGATCTAATGGAATTCATTTGCAAGAGAGTTGATTTACAAAGATGTTAGGATTATTACTAAAGGCTTGTTCACTCATGTGAATCCATCAACCCAAATTGAGGATCGAAACTGAGATATCACAAGCAGAACAAGATTGTTTGCACTTATCCGTTAACCACGAGGAGGCTAATCACAGGTGATGCATAAACATTTGGTTTGAAACATTGCATACAATCATGTAATCTCTGGTGCGAATGTTTATATCATTAAAGTCACCAGGTTGACTAAGGGATCCGGGGCTAAGAAAAATTATGAAATCCCGATTTCGATCCACAATGAGGTTCACGGAGATTAGCCGTCAATATCATCCAGCAGGATTGATTCATGTTTACCACGAAGCTCCTCCTATTACGGCAAAAATTGCTTTGTTTTCCTTAATTCAAATTCGTTCAGGTGACATTGTGAAACTTCATAAAGTTCCCTTGGAACTATAGCTATACAAGGTCATAACCCGGAAGCTGGTACTGAGATGAGCGAGGCGCCATGCCTGCAAAAAGCTCGCAAAGATGGGTTGTGCTATATCGTGCAAATGGAAAATGAAAAGAAAACGGTCTGATCAGCTGCCTGGTGACCGATTTGGTAACATGTTTATGTTCTGCCTGTGAGGTCCCGGATTCGACCCCCAGTTGGGTTGATGGATTCGCACTGCCGTCCATTGCTTCCTAGCTTTTTAGCTCATGGTTCATTTGCTATATACACGACGAATTCACCTTTGAAACTGAATCAAATCCTTCATTGCTTACTTGAATCATTTTCGTTGGGATAACTATCTGAATATCTCCCATGGGATGGCTTTGTTCAGCCATGCGAGTCGGAGGTTGGTCGACTGTTATGCACCGGGAGGGGGGGGGGGCTGAGGGAAAATAGCTCAAATGAGGTATGCTCAGAAAGGCAACTTCAGGGTGACTTATTTAAAACAGTTAGTCACTTG